CAGTCCTTACTCTTCTCTGACCCCCTCAGCACCCCCTGGGGCTGCCCAGGAGTGAGCCCCTCCCTCTCCCTCTCTTCCTTTTGGAGATCTCAGTGGTAGATTTCTCAAGGGGTTGGAATAGGGCTCAGAATGGAGCTAGAAGGGGGAGTGGTTTCAGGGTCTAGCAGTGTGACCTTGGACAAGTCTTTTCCCTATTTGGTGCTTCAGGTCACCTTCTGTAAAATGAGAGGGGTGGGCCAGCTGATCCCTCAGGCACCTCTCAATCCCTTGATTCTATATAATGAGAAGGAGCTAATCTTTCTCCTTCCTCCTCCTCTCACAATCCTCTCCTTCAGGAGCCTAATCCCAGGGGCGCCTTCAACAAGAAAGACACTGGCTCGGGACCAGGGCCCTGCCAAGCGTGTGTCCTTTGAGGCTCTGGTTTGAGGGGGAGTCATTGAAACAAGCCCAGGATTCAGCCCTGCCCTTCAGGGGCTGGTCCTCCTCTCCTTCTCGGTCCCCTCACTGCCTACAAGGACACAGTTTCATAAATGGCATCTCCAGGGTGAGCTGGTGAGGGGCTCCCTGATGCCCAAGATCCCCCAGGCTCCAGCACCCAAACAGGGCTGCCCCCAGAACCGAGAGGGGCTCACGGCCATGTCAGGGATGGTCCAGAGCTCCTTTTGTTCAGGCCCAGAATGGACAAGGGGATTTCTGAAGACCCTTCCACCTTGGATATTCTGGGAGAACTTGTCCCAGTGGAGACTGACCTCTGCCATCCACTGGGCCACATGATCTGCCTCGGGCCTTGATAAGGCTGAAAGTCCATCCGCCCCCTGCTCCACTGGGCCCCGTTCCCTTGTCCGGGCCCCTTGCCCAGCAGAGGCATCTATGCCAATCCTTTGCCCACGCCCCTGCATCACCCTGGGGCCCAAACAGTACAGACAGGCAGGACTTCATTTGCCAGAAAAGAGGAAAATAACTCAGACTTGGGTTTTCCCTGGAACTGGGAGAGAGAGGTCAAAGTCATGGGGAGAAGACCCAGAAAAGCAGATCTCAAATCCTACCAGTTAGAGCCCTCCAGAATCAGAACCTCAAAGTGGGTAGGGTCTTCAGTGGTCGCTACTGCAGACCAGCCTCTCTAGAACATCCCCATGTAGTCACCTAGATCCATCTGAAGACCTCCGGCCATGGGGAGCTCACTACCTCACCAGGCAGCTCATTTCTCTCTCCTCCAAGTTAAATGTCCCCAGTTCCTTGAGCTGTCCTTTCCTCATGGTCTCCAGCTCCACACTATATTCTCCTCTCCTCTGGCGGTCTCCTATCAGTGTCTTGCCCAAAATGCATGACATAGACGGGAACACAGAACTCCAGAGGTGGTCTGGAGCAGGACTGTTACTTCCCTCTCCCCGGACATCGTGCCTCTTTACGTGCCCAAGGCCGCTTTGTCATGCTGTCCACTCTAGCCCTCAGATCTCCTCACACACACGTATCTGACTGTATCTCCCCTGTCCCATACTTGTGAAATTGATTTCTGTAACCCAAGCAAGAGACCACACTTCATTTTAAAATTTCACCTTATTAGGTCAGTGCTGACTATTAGGTCAGTGCTCTTTAGTCTTTGTAGATCCTGGCTAATTCATCCACCATGTTAGTTCTCCTAGCTTCCTATCATCTGTAAATCTGACACAAATCTTTAAGAGAATATTCGTACAGCACTTAGCATTGTGCCTGGCACATAGTAGGTGCCCTATAAATGTTAGCTTTAGTTATTATTTATTTTATCCAACTTATTGATAAAATTGACCCAAACAGGGCAGGCATAGATCTGAGGAGCACACCACTAGAGACCTCCCTCCAAAGTACCATGGGAGCTATTGATGACTAATCTTTGGGGGGGGGGGTGGCCATTCAAACAGTTTCTAATACACTCATAGGGCTCCTACCTCTACCTCTCCGTCTCATCCACAATGATATCAAAGACTCCAGTAAGTATTTATCACACACCTGATGTACACAAGTATTTATTAAGTGCCTCTCCTATCTGCAATGACACATTTGCTGACGACAGCCTCCCAGGCCACTAGCCCTGTCAGAAAGAGAAGTGAAGTCAGTGGACGTGAGGCGTTCTTGACGAAGCCGTCCTGGCTGCCGCACGCTGCCGGTCCCAGCTGCAGAGGACGATGGGCCACAGACCAGGAGCCTGGGCCAGAGGACCTCAGAGGTCCCTACAAAGCCCTGGGCTTCCAATTTTTCTGACTCTGTCACCATAGATGGATTATCTTGAACAAGAATAGCCCGGCTCCCAAGAAGTCCTGGGGAAAAGCTGGCCCCTGCCCTCAGGGAGCTTCCAATCTAGCAACGTGTTAAACCAAGGACAGAGGGAGTGACAATGCAGGGCAGGTGTGATCGTCATCTCAGAGCTGACAATATAGTGCCCTAAGGGTTAGGAAGTACATTCCTTATCATCTCATCTGAGCCTTACACCAAGGTAGAGATTATAATCGTCATCCCCGATTTACAGACAAAGTACCAAGCTGAGAGCGGTCCTGCTAGTGAGCATCAGAGCTGGGTTAATAGGGCCGATGGTCCTGGCAGAGACGCAGATCCCAGAGGAAAAGAAGAATCCGCTGGGCTAGGAGAGCAGGGCAAGCTTCACTCCCACTCGAAGCCTCGAAGGACAGACACGTTATGATAACGGTGTTCCCGTCCTCACGCACCTTACAACACTTTCACCAGTGGAGAGATGGATTACAGATGTATGATCCCATTTTACAGGTGAGAAAACTGATTTGCCCCAGGGTCACATTGGCAGAAAATAAGTAGGGCAGGACTCAAACCCAGGCCCCGTGAGGGGTGGGAGGCTATCACATGGAAGGAGCATGGGCTTCGTCCTGCATGTCCCCAGGGGCCAGAACCAGGAGCAGGAGGGGAAAGTTACAGCTTGAGGCTTGAGCTCAGGACCACTTTCTTTCTGCGGATGGATGCTGGGGTTCTGTGACTCTGGTCCCCCTCTCCTTACAGCTACGAGCTCACTGGAGATGCAGACCTCATGACTCCCAGCTAATGAATAAAACGGGAAGGGAGGCGGGGTGCTACGGTCGGGCTTGGAGTTAAAAGACCCGAGGCTGAGTTCCAGACCCAGCCCTGACACGGAGGCCAAGTTACTTCTGCCCTCTCCACCTCGCTTTTCTCATACATAGAATGGGTGCGTCGCTGGACTTGGTCTTCGTGGCCCCCACAACTTCTGAATATCATCCTCTCCTCTGACCTCTGTTTTCATCCTTATTCCAGTTTGTTCTGTGACTCAGAGAAAGTCACTGCCCTTCTCTGGTTGTCCTCTTTCCCACCCATCCATTGGGACAGGGATGTGGGCTTGTTCTTGGCCTTTCCCTAGGAGATAACTGCTTTGTTATCCCCATTTTATAGATGAGGAAACTGAGGCAGAAGCTGAAGTATTAGCCCAAATGAAGTCGGGGGTGGAGGTGGGTATAGGAGGATGGGCTTTGAGGAGCCCCTGCAGAAAGGATAAACGAGGTCAGTCCTCAGGAGGTGCCCAGACCCGATGGCTGAGGACTGGGGCACAGAGATGACCGAACCTTTGGGGAAGTTGGGGGCCACTGCCAGCTTAGGACAGAGTCCTGCCCATAAGTAAAGGAGAAAGCCAGTAGAGAGCAGCCAGAACCATCCCAAATTGACAGGGGGCAGCAAAGAAACTGGGGTCAGAGGAGCTGGGTTCAGATTCTGCCTCTACTCCTAAAGTGGCTTTAGACAAGTGTTTGCCCCCTTGGGGCCCCAGCTTCTCCCATGTGTGCAACGAGGTGGTGAGACGCTGGGACCTCTTAGATCCTTGCCAGCTCTGAGGCCTGTAATCCTGCACAATGAGGAGATGGGTGGGCTGGGGTTGAGGAGGAGAAGCAAAGATGGCACAAGAGCCTTGCAGCCAGACGCCCCCTTGGAGCGGGCCACCGGGGAAGCGGGCCATCGGGCACAAGCTTCCACACCGGTGATAGAGGGGAGGACCAGAGGAGGGGACGTGTGGGCCTGCTGCCCGGTCAGCCAGAGGAGAGGCACGTTCCCGGGCCCTGGGTGCAGGGCTGCTGGGGGAGGGAGAGTCACCGCTCACTCAACTGAGACACTACAGAGAGTGTTCTTTTGGCGGTCCTCCGCCTGGAGCCCAGGGTATGGAACCTTCCGGAATAGCCAACACGGCACGCGTGTGCCGTGAACTGGGCCCCGTAGAGCGGGGACAAGAGGTTAGCTGCTGGAGCCGTGGAAGATGCCTCCGGGCACCCACACACCTCACACACCTCTCTCCATTGAGAGGGGCCGAGGTCAAGGCTTGAGGCAGAGGGAGGCCGGCTGACCTCGGCCTCAGCCAGAGCTCCCTGCAGCTTCCACTCACTGCTGGTGGGAGCGGGCAGGGCACTGGTGGCCGGTGGGTTGTGAGGCTTTGAGGACACAGCTCAGAGGCCTCACACTCTAGGCTGTCCCTTCCCCAAGCCCGTAAATACAGACCTGGGAGAAGGCGAAGGGGTCTTTGGAGAGTCCAGACAGTCAGAAAAGGAGGAAGGCTTCGGGGACAACAAAACCTCCTCCCTGGACGTCAGGCAAAGCTGGGGCGGGGAAGCTCTGGCCAGCCCTGCCCTCCGGCTCTCCATGTCCACGTCCTCTCCGTGCTCCCCTCCGGTCCTGTCTCCATCACTGGGTGCTCTCTGGGCTCCAGCCCAGTCTCTGCCCCCAGCCCTGGGCTCACCAAGAGCCAGAGCTGGGGAGCTGCCTCCAGTGTCCTGCTGAGGGTGGCTGGCCTGGGCGACATGGGTTCTGGAGGATCCTCAGCCCTCGGGGCGCAGGGCAGGAAAGGAACAAAGAAGGCGGGCCAGAGGAACACCAGCTGGGCTCCGGGGCGTGCTGTGAGGGCTGGACTGGATGAGGCTCTTTCCTGGGTGAGATGAGTTTATAAGGGAGACAGGGCCAGGCCTGGAAATGGAGGTGGAACGGGGGAGGGGGCAGGGTGGGCCTCAGGGCTCAAGGGGGACAGCAGGGACAGCAGGGATCGGGTTCTCCAGGGAATGACTCTTTGGAGTCTCCGCAGCGGTCATTCGGGCAGCCAGAAGGCAGGCCAGTACGACCCCTACCACCTGCAGGGCCCCCAGGCCCAGCGCAGCCACTGCAATGAAGGCCATGTTGTCAGCCACAAAGTCACTGGCTTTGGAGAAACAGCCATCAGAAGCCACAGCCCTGGCCCCCTGCTGGCAGTCCGTCTGGCCTCGGCAGCAACTGGGGGGCAGAGAACCATTACCCCGGGCCCAGGGTGAGTCCAGCCAGTCCCGGTAAGTGTCTACCCCACAGCACCCGAGTCCCCGCTGCAGGGCGTCCAAGCTGGCATCGCCCCTCCCTCCAGCCCCATAACCCCACAGGGCCTCCCACAGGCCTGCCCGGAAGCCCTGGGCCAGCTCGTTCTGGTAGCAAAGCCCTGAAAGGCCGGCAGCAAGGCCAGCTCCCAGGGACATCAGCTGGATGGCTGCAGATGCCCGGAGCAGGCCCCGGTGCTCACTGGCTGCCCCTCCTCCAGCCAGGCCTCCCCAGAGCAGCCCTGCAGCCCCAGCAGCAAGCAGGAGGGAGGGGGCACTGGGGGCCCCTCGGGCAGACAGGACCAGGTACCTTCCCAGCGCCATCTCAGCCCACAACCCAAGGGTCAGCATCGTTAGGCCAGCTGCCCCAAAGACAAAGCTGAAGGCCAGCACGGAGAGCTTCAAGAGGGCCATGATCCCTGGTCTGACAAGGCGTCCAAACCTCCGGACCCTCAGGGCCCCAGCCCCCAGGCTGTCCCCACTCCTCTGGGCTCCTTTGGCTCCCCACAGCTGACACCCTGGACACCTGCCCCTATCCCTGTCTGCTCCTCTGTCTCTGAATCTCAGGGCAGGGCCCCACGGGTGGCAGGGGATAAATGTAGGCACTGGGGGGGGCTGGGCTCAGTGCTGGTCAGTGGTGGGGCCCTGGGGAGAGGGCCAGCCAGTCCTGTTCCACGTCCTTCCTTCCTCTCCCCCTCCTCCCACCTTCTGTCCCTCCTCCTCTCCGGTGAGAAGGCGCTCACCACCTCTGGAGGCAGAAAAAAGGCTCAGCTTGTTCTGTGAGATCCCAGGGGGAAGAATGGAGAGAAATGGGGAGAGCAAGTATGTTGGGAGCTCTAGGCTGTGTCGGGGGGAGGAAAGACTCCCCAAACATGAGAACTATCCGATGATCCAGAACTGTGCCAGAGAGGTACGGCCTAGGGACCCTCCCCATCCCCTCAGGGCCCCCTGAAAAGTGACCAGCCCAGGCTCATGGCAACCCCCCCTCTGGGCCCCCAGAAAAGCGACCAGCCCAGGCTCACAGCAGTCTCCTCCGAGGGCCCCCAGAAAAGTGACCAGCCCAGGCTCCCAGGGCTGGGCCACGAGTCGGGAGCAGCTGCTGATGGACTGGCTGGCGCTTTTCAGTCTGAGGACACACGTAGTTCACAACAAAGGCATGTATTGACCTAAGAAAAGGGGCTCCCATCAACGTGAAGCCCTCCCCATACACACGCACAGCCAGGGACACGTGGACGCACCTGGAAACAAGCTGGGTTTGGGCAGGGCACGTGCCTAGAGGGTCCCTGGGGTCAACACAGGGGGTCCACGTCTTCTGATCTCCCCTCCTCTCCTTGCTTCCCACGGCCTGTGGGGTGTGGAGACGAGGTACGGGTGGTTACGAGCTGCTGGGGAGTGAGGGTCCTCATCCGGGAGATTTTCTCACGCTTTGTGGTTTGCAAAGTACTTTCCTCATAACCTCACGGAGTTCATGTAAGTATTACTGGGTCCATGTTACAGATGGGGAAACCGAGTCAGGGCCATTGGACTGGATCAGTATCACCCAGCCGGGCGGTCTTTGAGCCAACACTTGACCCCAGGGCTCCTGACCTCATTTACCATCCATCTGGAGCTTTCTCATTCTCCCTTCTGCGTTACTCAGAACCCTGTCGTCCCCGGAGCCCTCCTTTCCTTGGGGCTCACGGGGGAGGCTGCCTTTGGCTTCACTTTGCCAGGATGCCCCCCTCGTGTGCCTGAGCCTCTCTTGTCCTTCACACATTTATCCCTCAACCTCCTCCCTTCTCTCTCCTTCAGACTCCCTTCTCTGCTGGGTCCGTGATTTCTGAGAAGATCTGCATCCTGGCATGGAGGATCGCCTACGGTGGGACCCTGATGAGGGGGGCCCGAAGGACCTGAAAGTATGGAGGCTTTCTGTGGTGAGCAGCTTCATCCTTGGGGCCTGAGGAGTCCCTCAGAGCTGGGTCCAAAGGCTGGAGTCCAGGAGAGCCCCGGCTGGTGGGAGGGGAGGCAGGACAAGAGAGAGAGGAGAAGTCCGCCGCCCCCAACAGCTCCTCGGGGTGGGGCGGGGGAAGAGACCTTGCAGGCCAGGCAAAGCTCGCTGGGTCCGGACCAGCCTGCACATTCCAGCACTTGCACTTCTGGCCCTGGAGATCTTGGGAGCTGCTTAACCCCTCCAGGCCTCAGTTTCCCTCTCTGTAAAGTGATGGAGTTGGCTTCCTGCGTTAAATCTGTAATCCCTTGAAATCAAACCTGATCCCTTCATTTTACAGACTCCAGAGATTACATAGTCTGTAATCTTTAAGCTGTGGGCTCTGACCATTTCTGACCTAATTGGCCTCCCTGCTTCCAGAGCTCTTCCCTTCTCAACCACCTTCACTGACTCCGTCTCTGGGACTTCTCTCTTAGGTCCCCTGCCTGCACTGCCATCCCCCATCCTGCTTCCTCAAGGCATCTCTCCCAGTCAGACTGCTCCTGCACTCTGAGATCTCTGAGCCTCAAGCTATCTCATCTGTGAAATGGGAGAGAAGAGAGGACAGGTTTGTCAGTCGTTTTGCAAACCTGGGGGTGCTGTAAGGAAGTGTCCGGTATCATGGAGAAGTATGACCGTCTTCTCTTTCTCTGACTCCTCCAGCCCGCCCCGGGTTACACCCTCAGCCCTTTGCTGTTTTCTAGTGTGTCCATCCCAAACCCTGAGGGTCCCTGAGGACTCAGCTTGGGGGTGTTAGCTGGGGGCAGTAAGGAGGCTGCCATGGAGGGGTGGGAAGCCCCTATCTTGCAGGACCCGAGGTGTCTAGAACCCAGGTCTGAGGGACTGTTGGCCAGGGTGTGACCTTGGACTAGTAGAAAGGGCTGGGGTGGGGTGAGGAAGGAGAAGCGTAAGTGCTGGGTAAGGGAGAGCTTGATGGAAATACACAACCTTTGAGAGGCAGACCTGAGTTCAAATCCAGCCTCAGACCCTTACTGACTATGACCCTGAGCAAGTCACTTCACTTCTGCCTGCCTCAGTTTCCTCAACTGTAAAAGAAGGATCACATATGGCACTTAGCACAGTGCCTGGTGCTTCATACGTGCTTATTCGCTTTCTTCTCCAGACTCTATTTCCAGGAGCTCCCCCCCTCCAAACTCCCTTCTTTCCTTGTCCTACTTTTCCCGTTTCCCTCCTCTCCCTTCCCCACCTCACCTCCCTTTTTCCCCTCCCCCTCCCCCTCCCTCTTCCTTTCCCTCCCCCTTCCTCTTCCCTCTTCTACCGAGCCCCGCCCATTCGCGAGGCCGGACGGCGGGGGCGCGCACGCGCCCAGGTACCGGGCGGCGCGCTACCCCCTGGGAGTTGTAGTCCCCTCCCCGAGGTCCGGAGCGGCCGCCTGGGGAAGACCGGGAGGCCGGGACTCCCCTTCCCAGCGTGCCCTGCGGTCCCCCAGTACCCCCTCCCTCCCGTGCGACGGACAGGAGCGAACAAGCTAGCGAGCGACGGAGGTGAGGGAGCAGCGGGGTGGCGGAGCCTGGGCTGGGTCCGAATCCCGGGGGAGGCGGCGGCGCAGGTGCCGTCCAGGGAGCGCGGGGGGGGCGCTGTCTGCTGAAGGCTCTTGGGGCGGGCCGGACCCCCTCCCCTGCGGCCTCTCGTAGGGCTGGGGGGGGGACTCCCTGGAGCGTCGCGGGGGGAGGTGGGGGGAGGGGAGGGTTGGGGCGGCCCCTCCTCCATGCCCCCCGCCCCACACCGCGCAGGGCCATGGGTCCGGTCCGGCCGGGGGGGGGGGGGCCCCGTGGAGACCCCGGGCCGGGCCGGGCCGAGGCCGGCTTGCTCCCTGGGCCTCCCCTCCCACTCACTTCCTCCTTTCCCTTCCCCCTTCTCTCCCCATTACTTCCTTCCCGCTCTGCCCTCCCCCTTGCCCCGTCCCCTCCCTTGCCCTCTCCCCATCCCCTCCCTTCCCTTACTCCTCCCCTCCCTCCCCCCTCTCCCCATCCCCTCCCTTCCCTTACCCCTCCCCCTCCCCTTTCTCTCCCCATGGCTTCCTTCTCCCCTCCCCCCTTGCCCGTCCCTTCCCCCTTTCCCGTCCCTTCCCCCTTTCCCCTCTCTCCCTCCCTGCCCCTCCCCCACCCCGCAGGTCAGCCCCCCCATGCCGCACGCACCCCGGATCCCAGCTCGCGGTTGAGTGATCCTGCAGAAGAGAGAAGCCCCAGGCCCAGGTAGGAGCCTGGGGGGGGTCGGTCCAGGAGAGGGAGAAGCCCCACGTTCCCCTCCGAGGGTCCCGCCTCCCCGGGGTTTGCGGGGAGCTTGAGCAGGGTGCCCGGGGCTGGGCCTGAGGTCCGAAGGACTTGGGACACTGGCCAGCTGGGGACCCTGGGCATGTCAGCCGTAAACACGGGGTCCTGGCTGTGCCTACGGGGCAGGGGCTGGCATACAGTAGGCTCTCAGTAAATGCTCGTGGCTTTCTCTTGGCCTTCCTCCCTGGACCTGAGGCTGCCCCCTGTTATCTCTCTTTACAGATGAGGAAACTGAGCCTCTTCCGTAGCCCTCTTAACCTTAGTGCCTTCTCTCTGGTGGTCATTCCCCATTTCTCCTGCTTTGAGCTTGTTTGTCCATAGGGGTCTGCCCGGGAGCTCCTCCAGGGCAGCCTTTCTCTGTGTCCCCTCCACTGAACCCAGCACATAGTAGGTGCTTCTTGGACAGGCTGCCAGCCCCTCCAGAGCCCTCCCACGCACAAGGCCGGAGGGTGCCCAGGTTTCTATGGAGGAAAGCCCTTTTCCTCTTCTGCCTTGCTTTGCATGCACAGACCGGGCACACAGTAGGCACTGACTACTGCCCCTGTTCTCCTGGGCCAGCTTCCTGCCTTCTCCCTTCTCTGCCCCCACCAGGCCTCTGTCTTTGCTGCCAGCTCTCAGGAGGATGGAGCCTCCATTTCCTTACCTGCGAGCTATTTGGTGCCTGCTGATGGGGAGGCTGGCAGGCATTTCTCCCTCCCCGGGCCTTTCCGTTCCAGAAAATAAAGTGTTTATTCGGCATCCTCAGTGCCAGGGGCACCCAGGTGCTGAGGAGAGATTCAGGAAGGCCTGGGTTCTGATGCCACCTCAGACTTGTCCTCGCTGCGTGACATGGGCAAGCAACTGCACCTCTCTGGGCCTCAGTTTCCTCACTTCTAAAGCAGGGCAATCATGTGTGCACAGGGTGGCCATGAGGTCCAGAGGAGAGAACGGATGGAAGCATCCATCCGTGGCTGTCATCACCGTTCTTCTTTGTGTTGTTTGGGTCATTAGAGTTGGGACGTGGACGTTTCCACAAATGAGTGGCAGAGGACATGGGCGCTGCCTCCGCGGTCAGCTGCTCCCGGCCCCGAGTGAAGGACTTGAACACCCGAGGCTTTTCCATTCCCCTGCCTGGCCCAGTGTGTCCCAAGGCCTGTGGCCCCCTCTGGGCTGGGGGGGCCGCCCCAGGTGCCTGGCGGGTGTCCCCTCAGAGGCGCAAGGCCCTTGGTTACTCGGCAGCTGGGGACTAGGGGAGCTGGTCAAAGACGGTCGATGGAAGTGAAAGGAAGGCAGGCTCCTTTCTCTCTCCCATTCCCGTGGTGAAGTTCTTCGGGGTCGCGGTCAGCATTCTTCAATGGTCACTTTATCCGGGGGTTGTTGCCCCAGGCCAGCACGGCGCTCAGAGAAGGAGCCAGAAGTGCTCCATGGCTCCGGACGCTCAGCTGGACGGAGTCTTGGAGCTCGCGGGCCCTTACTGCCTGGGGGAGCTTCTCTGGCCGGCTGAGTGGACCCTTCTCAGCTGCAGGCAGGGTAGGGCAGCCTGTAGATGTGCAGCCTGGACAGGGATGTGGCGCAGGAGCAGAGGACCTGGGTTCAGATTTGGGTCTGTGAGGGGTTGCTGGGGTGACCTCGCTGGGCCTCAATGTCTTTCTCTGTGAAATGGAACTTGACCTTTATGGCGGTGTCCTTCTGTGCCCCCACTGATAGCTCTTTGTGACCGGGCTCTTGAGGGGAATCTCCTTGGTTTGGAGTGGAAAGCACTAGGAGGAATCCCCTCGTAAGAGGACCTTACCCCATGAAAGCCCGCCTGCGCCCTGGGCCGTGGTGTCTCGCCAGGGGCTGGCAGGATCAGGAGAACAGTGGAGCCATCGTAGGCTCAGTTTTCTTTTTTGGAAATGGAATATAAGGTGTTTCAGAGGAGGGGTCATCAAGTCCAGCCCTCCTCACTTGGCAGGAGGGAACTGAGGCCCAGGAGGGGCAGAGACTTGAACTCAGCACCCAGACTCGGGCCTTTTTGGCATGTTTCCTGAGTACTGGCTCTTTGGCTTTCTTGTAAAGGCTTGGGTGCCCCCGGCCCAGTCCAGGACGGCCCTGGGCCCTGCTGCTTTCTGCCTGGGGCCGTACATAGGGGAGAGTGGGTAGCTGAGAAGAGCTTTGTCAGGGAGAGGAGGGATCGCAGGCCCCCAAAGGGACCGCCCTGAAATGCTGTGAGTGACCCAAGGCAGAGCAGAGAGGAGATGGGATTGGGGAGAAAATGAAACCAAGGTTTGTATAGCATTTGACACCCATCCCATTTGAGCCTCGCTGCACCTCTCTGAAGTCACTAAGTACCATGGGTACTCTTAGCCCCATTTTACAGATGAAGGGATCGAGGCCCAGGCAGGCAGCTTTTATCTCCCCCGGTGTGACAGCTGATAAATGTCAGGAAGGCACGCCCAGAATGTCTTCCCCTCTGTCCCACTGCCCGTCTGCATGAGAGATATCCAAGGGGCATATTAGAGAATTGTCACTAGAAGAATCAGCAAGAAAGGAGGGAGAGGAGAGGCTCTTGGCAGGCCCTGCTGGCCAGGCCATGTCCGATGAAGCAGCTGGGGTGCTGGGGTTCTAACCACAGCAGCCCCTGGAGGCAGGCACTGTAGAGGGGACCGTCCCCGCGTGCCCCCCAGGACCGTGAGCCTTGCCCAGGCCCAGGCAGCTTGTGTGGGAGTGTTGGAGAAGGGGGCAGGCCCAGCCCTCTTTCCATGGCCTCAGCAGTGGGGTGGGCCGCTCGGGCGATTCCTATCTGCCGTTTGAATCAGGTGGTCTTGCCCCTTTCCCAGGCCAAGCTTTCGGCCCAGGCTGGGAGGGGCTGGCCTCAGGAGGGTCTTCCTAAAGATGCAGATGTTCTCCGGAAGCCTTTGCCTGTGGCAGTCATCCTCCTTGTGCCCCGGAAGGGTGTGTGGGGGTCTGGGTGCAGTGAGGCAGTAGCTCAGGCTGGTCGAGTGTGTGATGCTCATTTTGCCATAAAGGGTCCTAATAACCTCTGGGGACGGGGCTTGGTGAGGTGCAGCGTCTGTCTGAAGGTAGTGTGGGCTCAGTCCAGGTCTTCTGGGAGTAAAGAATCCTAATGGTGGCCTGAGCTCCTGGGAGAACTTGTCCTGGGGGGCCTGGAGGATGACAGGAGGGAGCCCCTGCATCATTTCAGGCCCCTTGGGGCCGCTGGCCTGGGGCTTGCCATGAGTAACTGGGAAGGTGGAACACCTGGGTCCTGGGAGGGGTGGGAGGGGACCGGGAGCAAAGGGAACTTTGGGACACGTACGTGTGTCTCATTTGTGGGATGCCAGCCAGGCTGCAGGGAGTCCGATGGGTCCCGCCCCCCCTTGTTAAAGATTTTAATCTGTTTGGGTGTGTTGGCAGCAAACCTTCTTCAATCTCTGCTTGGAGGCAGCAGCTGTTGGTTACTTTCTGTCAAAAAACAGGGACTGAAAACACGGTTTCAGGCTGATTGTCTGCCAGGCGGGCCCTGGCAATCCTTTCTGGTTGCTGTGAGTGCCAGGCGGGGAGGGGAGGGGGCCACGTTTGAGTTTCATTGACTTTGGGATCCTCCTCATCGCACAGATCAGGGGAGGAGAATAGGGTAGGAAGAAGATACCACTCCCCCTGGGTCACCCAGCATGCAGATAGTGGAGGAGTTGGGATCAGAACCCCTGACCTGTGGCTGCTGGTCTGTATTCTGTCTTCTCAGCATACTGCTCACCCAGGCTGGAATTCATCTTCCCCAGCTGCACTGTGAGCTTCATTAAGCACCTACTGTCTATAGAGCCCTTCTTACCGAGTGTAGGTAAAACAAAGCTGGTGCCTTTGGGGCTCCAGCAGAAGATCCCAGTATAGATAACTTGGTGTAGCAGAGTAGAAAAGTAGAAGAGTACGGAAGTATCTGGAGGGCCTGGGAGGCCTCCTGGAGAAAGTGGCTGTGGAGTCAGTCCTTAAAAGATGGGTACAAATTCGTCAGTAACAGGAAGCGAGGGCATTCCAGGCGGAGGGAATGGTGCTGAACAAAGGCCTGGAGGCTGGAGGACACAATGTGTCATGTGTGGACCACAGTAGTCATGGTTGGCTGCAAGCACCTCTCTCTGTTAAACAGTTGGCTTAGCCTGGTCGTCTTTGTGAAATGCAGGAGGCTATGAGTTAGCTGGGCTGCTATTGACCCACAGGGCTAAGGAGGGCAGAAGATCTTGAAGTAAAGAGAGCTGGGGCTAATGAGACATTCTAAACAGGACCTTTAAAAATCTCGCTCACTGAGTCACCGTGAGCGGGGGATGGCCTTCTTTTGGCCTCGGGTTTCTCAATTTGTAAATGGAACGAGTGAGACCAGATGGCCGCTGAGGTCCTTTGAAGATTAGATTTGCTTCTTGATTTTTCCTGCTAGGATCCTTGATGGACACATAACCTTCATCTTCTCTTTCTCTCCCTCTCCGTTTCCTCCTCTCTCTCTTTCTCTGCCCTTTTCTTTATCTTTCTTCTCCCTCTCTCTGCCCTTCTCTCTGTCTCTCTCCTTCTCTCTCTGAATTTCTCTTTGCCTCCCTCTCTCCTCAGCTAGCCATACAAAACTACCTCTTGTCCAGATCATGACTTTCAGTTGAATGGGCCGCAAACTGAGCCCAGAATCCCAAAGGATGAGGAGAATCAGCTGAATTGCTTTCCGGAAACTGCAAAGCCCCTCAGTGGGCCATGTTTTTAATGCCAACATTTTGTTCTTCCTCTTGTGTGGATGCTGGACCCTGAGGCATCCCAAATGACCATCCCGTAGACAGCAGTAGTGCGACGCGGCTCAGCGTGGGTGTGAGGAGACTTTGCCTAGAATCAAAGTGGTGCTTCAGGGGAGAACAGAAATACGAGGTGTCACCAAGGAACTGTGCCAGGCAGAAAGGCTGGGCTGGTCACAGGGTGACAGGTAGGCAGCTCAGCGTCCTCCAGCACGGTAGGTGGGCTCTGTCAAGGAGGACACAGGCCGGCGAGGCAGCACGTACCTAGATCTGTCTGCGTTGTTGAACGGAGCATCCAAATTGGAGGAGGTCCAGTGGATCCAGATCCACGGGAGTATTGATCGTATTATGGAATTTTTTAATGTTTTAATCAGGATTCTTCCAGATGTCAACATCAGGAAGATTGGTTTTATAGAAACATGCCTTATCCTGATAAGAAATAAAAATACTTTGTTGCTCTTGACTGTGGAAGAGAAGTGTCTTTGGTGAGGAAACAAAAGCTCCCAAATGACAACATTTAGTGCCAGAACAGCAGTGATGCGGAGGGACTGACTGGTGCAACAGGAGATTATTTTCATAGAAACTTGAATGTAACGAGTAATTAGACAAAATGAAGGCTTTTCTGAAATCTGTTTGAGTTATGATGGGGACGTGCCTGGCTTGGAGTTTTCCATTCCTTTAGGGGCGGGTGTGTGTGTGTGTGTGTGTGTGTGTGTGTGTTTGTGTGAGAGAAACAGCATGTGGCCGCCAGCCTTTCCTTGCACCTCTGCAGGACGCCATGTGGCTCACACCAGCCTTGCTTTCCTGGTGTGCTTACTGCTGTTGGTGTCTGGTTGGCTTTGTCCTGTGCCAAGGACTTGAGGTTCTCTGGTTCCCCCGCCCCGGTTCCAAAAGCCTGTGACCACGTGGTGAGCTCTGGCTGCTGGCTTTCTTCATCTGTGCCTCCCAGGCTTGTTCTGGGGGTCAGAGGTGACACAGTGCCTCTGCAAACTGTAGGGCTCCGTGTCCACACGAGCTGTTTTGTTAGAGCTCTTGGGAGAGAGAAGGAGGCTGGCAGGCGGGCAGCCCCGGGCCTCTGGGCTGGATTCAGGACTGAAGGGAGGCCTTCTGCCCAGGAGGAGAATGGAGTGGAAACTCCATCACAAGGCTTCGGGTCAGAGGAATAAGCGGGGCCAAACCTGCCTCCACAAATGTCTCATGGGTAACATTCCTAACCCAGGGCCTGAGGGAATGGGGAGCGGTAAGATGACGCTGCAAAGCTCTCCATGGCCCAGCTGCCCCATTTCCTTCCAACTCTTTCACCTCCTGGTGCGTTTGTGACTCGTCATCCAGGAGTTGTGGTAGGGGCCCTGCGGGTGTGTGCCCCGTGGCCCTGCAGCCCAGTTCGGTCTTGACCCTCGGCTCTGGGGTCTTGGAGAAGATTCCTACTTCGTGGCCTTCCTCTGACCAGCACTTTTTGGAGTCCTATAATTGACTGGGTTCAGTTGGCATCTGGCAGGGCGAACATTAAAAAGAATGAGAGTGGCATGAAGCATTAGCAGTGGCGCAGACACAAAGAAGGAAGAGAAAAGGGCATCAGCAATTATGGCGTGCTGCTTTGGAACAGTTGGGCCAGTTTGTTTCATTCAGCGTCTCCTGCTGCACAGGCAGTGAGCGTCTCATACTTCCAGGATGCTCAGACCGCGGCTTGTGCCTCCCACTGTCCTTTGGGCTCTGTAGACATCGTCACCAGCGATTGCAAATCTGGCTGCAGTCAGAACCTTGCTCAGGGTTCTTTGGGGGGGATTCCCTGGGTAGAGCGGCTTGCCTCAGACCTTGGCATCTCTCTTTATGTGTCTTCTCACAGGCCAGCCTCCATCGGAGACCCCGGCCAGCTCCCTCGGGATGCAGGAGGAACAGCCCCAGGAGGTAAGTTTGTGTCCAGGGTCGAGGACCTCTCTCTGTCCTGAGGCAGACCTCACGGGTGCTCGCCCAGTGCAGTGTCCTCCCCTTAGGAGCCTCGAGGCCCACTCTTAGCCCCGCTGCTGTGCTGGAAGGGGGCAGTGAGGGGACGCAGTCAGGGGAAACGTGCTAGAAGTAGGTTGTGGGGTGGGTTTCAGATACTGAGCCAGGGGCCCAGTGAAGGCATTGCAGCAGTGACACGCCTGGATCCCGGCCTCGGGAAGGTCATTGTCGTGGCGCTGTGGGGAGGCCGCTCAGGCGACCGCAAGAGTCCAGCGGAGGCGGTGAAGGCCTGCGCTAGGTGGTGATGGTAGGAGTAAAGAAAGGGGAGGACAAGGAAAACTGAGGTCCCAGTTCCGAGTAACAGGAAAATGGGTTTGAAGGAGTGACTGGCTTGGGCGGGGGAGGTGCTCTGGCCGGCTGGTGCCTCTTCCCTCAACTACATATTGTCTCGTCTCCACGGAGGGACATGGGGCCTTGTTGAGGTGGTCAGGGTCGGGATCCTCCTGCTCAAAAACCCAAACGTCTTTTTCATTTCTGGCCGAGGTGTTTCGGTCTTTGAGAACGAGGGTCTCCTGACCCCCGACGCAGACGCAGCTGAAGAGGGAGGGGAGATCTCCAGAGATAGTGGTGGAGGTCCAGCCGTGCCCCTCCTGCACGCTCTGTGCTCAGCAGAGCCAACCCCATGAGAGCCTACCAGTGAACGCTGGCAGTGAGGGGAGCGTGCCTGCCCTCTGCCCCTCTGGATGATGCCCTGGCGTGCTGTCTGTCCATCCTCCAAGCATCGAGGGTTCTTCCTGCCCCTGCTTTGGGCTGAGGGCCGCCTTCCATCACCTGCTTCCATGTGCCTGTGAGGGTCCTCCAGAGAGGCCAGGGCGCTCTGTACGAGTGTTATGTGTAAAGCGATCACGTCACCCAGCCTGACTTAGTGATGCCTCATCTCAGGCAGGCACAAAACTGTGTCGCCTTTGCAGACCAGACAGGACAAGAGCTCACGTCTCCCCGGGCTCGGCCCGATCTCTGCAGCTTGTCCTGAAACGCGCTGTTGTTGTTTTGTTTTGCAGGCTGCGGAGGAGCCAGCCCCTTCGACCGAGGCGTCGGAATGTGACCCCGGAGTGGTCCCTGGAGACTCCCAGAATCTCTGTATGTTTGTCCTTTACAACCTTAATTGACTTTTCTTACTGGTAGGAGGCCAATATTGATGATGCTGTAGGCACAGGAGAAAAACGGTTGTAGAGGACCAGCCTTCTCCTGTCTGACTTTGTCCAGCCAAGGAGTCTTGGGCGCGGGCTGCCCGCTGGCCGTCACGCTCCAAATAAGCCCTGGGGAGAAGGCTTCAGGGGAATCTGAATTAGACCTCAAGTCTTTGTTCATGCAGCCAAAGGCCTGGGACTTCCAGTGTGGCAGGGATGACCCACTGGAGGGCTAGAACACTGGAGGTCGAGGACCCTAGAGGTGTAGTACACTGGAGGTCGAGAACCCTGGAGATCTAGGATGCTGGAGGTCTAGGACCCTGGAGATCTAGGACCCTGGAGGTCTAGTACACTGGAGATCTAGTACACTGGAGGTCGAGGACCCTGGAGATCTAGGACCCTGGAGATCAAGTACACTGGAGGTCGAGGACCCTGGAGGTCTAGGACCCTAGAGATCTAAGACACTGGAGGTCTGGGACCCTGGAGGTCTAGGACCCTAGAGGTGTAGTACACTGGAGGTCGAGGACACTGGAGGTCTGGGACACCGGGGGTCTAGGACACTGGAGGTCTAGTACACTGAAGGTCTGGGACCCTGGAGGTCAAGTACACTGGAGGTCTAGGACCCTGGAGGTCGAGTACACTGGAGGCCGAGGACCCTGGAGGTCTAGTACACTGGAGGTCTAGGACCCTGGAGGTCAAGTACACTGAAGGTCGAGGACCCTGGAGGTCTAGTACACTGGAGGTCTAGGACCCTAGAGGTCTGGGACCCTGGAGATCTAGGACCCTGGGGGTCTAGGACCCTAGAGATCTAAGGCACTGGAGGTCTGGGACCCTGGAGATCTAGGACATTGGGGGTCTAGGACCCTGGAGATCTAGTACACTGAAGGTCTGGGACCCTGGAGGTCTAGGACCCTAGAGGTGTAGTACACTGGAGGTCGAGGACACTGGAGGTCTGGGACACTGGAGGTCTGGGACACCGGGGGTCTAGGACACTGGAGGTGTAGTACACTGAAGGTCTGGGACCCTGGAGGTCGAGTACACTGGAGGTCTAGGACCCTGGAGGTCGAGTACACTGGAGGTCAAGTACACTGAAGGCCGAGGACCCTGGAGGTCTAGGACACTGGAGGTCTGGGACCCTGGGGGTCGAGTACATTGGAGGTCTAGGATACTTGGAGGTCTGGGACCCTGGAGATCTAGGACCCTGGGGGTCTAGGACACTGCAGATCTAGTACACCAAAGGTCTGGTACACTGGAGGTCTAGGACCCTAGAGGTGTAGTACACTGGAGGTCTAGGACCCTAGAGATCTAGGACACTGGAGGTCTGGGACACCGGAGATCTAGTACACCGGAGGTCTGGGACACTGGAGATCTGGGACACTGGGGATCTAGGACCCTGGGGTTCTAGGACACTGGAGGTCTAGTACACTGGAGGTTGAGTACACTGGAGGTCTAGGACCTTAGAGGTGTAGTACACTGGAGGTCGAGGACACTGGAGGTCGAGGACCCTGGAGGTCGAATACACTGAAGGTTGAGGACCCTGGAGGTCTAGGACCCTGGAGGTCTAGTACACTGGAAGTCGAGGACCCTGGAGGTCTAGTACAGTGGTTCTCAAATCTTTGGTCTCAGGACCCTTCCCACTGTCCCTCCTAAAGAGCTGTGGTCGATGTGGGTTACATCTGTTCCTGTTTATCATGTCAGAAGTTAAAACCTCGTAGTATTATTATGAAAAGGGGTTTGACTTTATGGACCCCTTGAAAGGGTCTCGAGAGTCCTTGGACGGCTTCCCTTGAAAGCTGCTGATCTTGTGGAACGAGCCTTGGGTTCAGATTCGGACCCTGTCACTTCTTTCCCACGTGACCTTGGGCAGGTCACTCACCGCTTCACCTGCACTTTATCATGTACAAAACAACTCATGCCCCTGGCAGCGGTGAATGCTGGGGCGGCCCCTCCGGCCAGGATCCTGGAGGACCTGGGGCCGTATTCATCGTCCGGCCTTTGCGGAGACCCCCTGACTCGCCATCCCGGGGCTGTGCTCACGCACTTACCTCCATCGGCTCCTCCAGGCCCTGCCTTCGGAGGGAGCTCAGGCTGCAAACCCGGCATCAACTTTGAATTGAGGCGGAAGCCCGGGGAGGGACTGGGAGGGCCTCACCGTCTCGGTGGGTGTGCGGCGTCCTGCCCCTAGTCCCGAGGCTCCCTGCAGGGAAGCAGTTAGTGGCTCAGACGCTACAGAGGCTCACACCCGCCTGGGCCTGCCCCTCTCACTGTGTGCTTACTCGCTGATAAGGAATCCCCGAGTCAGAACCAGGGAAAGCCCGTGAGGTTTCCTGCCCGGGGCTCGCCTGGAGCAGCTGGCGGGATGGGGTTTTGACCTTGCCTTGCTTGGCTCTGATTGGTCGTGTTGCGTTGGAGATGCGTGGGTGGTGCCCGCGGCTGCAGGGTATCAGCCTGGCTGGTGTTGGAGCTTATGAATGCATGAGTCAGGATGCTACTGACTCTTTTACTACCAAGGCTAACGTTTAAGCAGAGGCGTAGGCCTGATGGCTTCTTGATTGCGTCCTGTGGTCACGAGAGGGCATTTGTCTTCATGGATTTGGAAGATTTTAAGCTGGGGAGCCATGCTCTACCGCCGTGCAGAAACCTACCCTTGTCTCTAGAGGAGCCCAGCGGGGGGTTTTGCCGACTGCTCCCTCGTTGGGCCTGGGGCAGGGAAGGGGGTCTCTAGCCTTGCAGTGACTCACACAGGGTCCCTTGAGGCACGTTGATAGCCATGCTGGTGCATGTGTGTGTGGGTATCTGTGGAGGCGCTGCATAGGGGCTCCTTTTCCCTCGTTCGCAGCTGACGTGGACGCTCTTAAGATCCTTTTGGAGATGAAAATGAAGAAGAGACAAAAGCAGCCCAGTCTGCCCGGCACCGTCACAGAGCTGGTCACGGAAGAAGGGAGTAAGGTGTACGTGGTCGGCACAGCCCACTTCAGCGATGACAGTAAGCGAGATGTAGTGAAGGTATGTTGCGGGGATCGTAGGTGGGGGAGCCGCGTGAGGGAGGTCTGGGCCGTGGAGAAACCCAAGCTTTGACGGGCCTCGAGACCTCCTGCCCAAGAGGGCCCTTGTGCTCTGGGTGCCGCCGCCGCCTCTTCGGTCGGGTCATCCGGGGCCGCGGGGACTGACCAGACAAGCCAGAAGGGGTCCTGAAGGTGGTCTGGACTGCACTTGAAGACACAGAGCCGGGCCTGGTGGCTAGGAAGTGCGGGACGCAGGGCTTCCGACTGACACGTGTCCCGTGTTTGTCCACAGCACGGTGCTGAGGCGTGGAGGCATCTCTTCCCCCTGCCTTCTGTCCACCCACTTGTAGGACTGATTCGCACATCAGGCAGCAGCTTTGGGCCCTTTCCAGAGCTGAGGCTTCATGTCTCTGGGAATCCTTTCAGCTGGAGCGGCTGTGGTCCTCTGTTAATTAATGAGAGCTCTTCTGGGGGCTTGGAAAGGAAGGAAGGACGCAAGGCTCCCCGTGGCTTGGTCCTTCCTTTGGCTTCCTGCCAAGGAGGAGAAGGGAAAAAGAAAAGGAAGAAATTCGCTTACCCTTTTTCTCTATCAGAAGCTTCATCCCCCCTCCCCTTCCCTGTGCCCCCACCCCACTGCAGGCCGCTTAAGAGTCCCATTTGAGAGAACCTTCATTTGTCTAACTGGGGGAAACGCTAGAATGTTGGAGAAGACTGGCCGGGGTGAGGCAGAGGGTAGTAAGAGCATTCTGAGCAGGCAGCTTTCTTGGGGAGAGACAAAAGATGAGAGTGGGGCAGGGTGGGAGATACCTCAAACCTCCCTTTAGTGCTCATGCTGTCCAGTTTTGATCTTACGCTACTGCTGGTAATTCCAGCCCTGTCAAATAAAAGTAGAGGGAGCGGGCAGCTAGCTTTAGTCCTGGTCCCATGGGGAGAGCTTCCAGTGTTTCGTCCTCACAAAGCCGGCCTTCCCTTCTCCAGTTCTCTTGGGAGGCCCCGTCACCTGCTTCTCCCTTAGCTCCGGAGCAGGGACAGGGCTGGAGGGAGGCATGCTGGACACCCTCGGCCAACAGAAGCCTTGCCGTCCTTCCCCTAGTGAAACGCCTTCAGGTCACAGCTGTCAGAGGTTGGCTATCCTGCCCGTGCCCAGCCCTGGGTCTCATGTGCTCTCTGCCCTCCCAGTCCTGGGGAAATGGAGGCCTCCTTTGGGGTAGGAATCCTGTTCTACTTTGTTATCAAAGATCACACTTGTGAGTACTTAGCACAGTGCCTGGCGCTTAATAAATGCCTGTCCCCATTCCTGCTCCAAATGGCAGTCATGGCTGGCATGTGTCTGCTACCTGGGATGTAGCAGGGATCTCCCTCTTGGCCTCGATGTGTCCTAAAGTTCCCTTGAGCTCACGGTTCATCCAAGCAGGCAAGTGCCCTGATGTTGGTGCCCTCTGTTGGTCTGAAAACATCAGTGCAGGCGGCGTGGTTCTGGGAAGGCTCCAGCCAGGCTCTCCAGTGAGGTGGGAGGGTGGTCACCTCTCAAATGCTCCCACTTCAAAGCTCCCGCAGAGGGGTGGCTTGCCTCTCTTTGGAGATGACAGTGAGGTCAAACAAAAGATGAGAGTGGAGCAGGGTTAAGGTTAGCCTTTAAGGAAAGGAGGGTGGCCGTGGGCAGGGGAGAAGGCCATCCCTGTGCTCTGGGGCAGATCACAAGGGGGTCATGAAGACCTGACTGGGGGTTTCAGTGTCTGAGTGGGCCTGCACATCTGCTAGTGCTCAGACCCAGAGCCGGGTCAGGATCTCCAGGGGAGCAGCAGTCAGTCTTTGCCCTGAATCCCCCCCGCTGGGAGCACTGCGAGCTTGTCGGTCCCCAGCCTGTGCTGACCCTCGGAGCCTGGAGTAACACGGCCTTCAATGCCTCCCAAAAGTAGCGACAGGGTCAGCCCAGACCTTCCCTCCACAAGTGGGCAGAGGCCAGCCCCACCGTAAATTCCTAAGTCAGCAAGTAGGCTGGAAGAGTGAAAAAAAAATAATCCCACCAGAAAAAGTTATTTGAGTTAAAAATGTTTTTATAAATAAATGATGAGTACTAGAGGAAAAAGTTGGAAAAGGAATGAAGAGAAAGATATGAAAGAAATAATTGAAAAGGGAGTTAACAACATGGCGCGTGAGGTACAAAACCTTCCCCAAGAAACATGTTCCCTCGATGTTAGAATGCATCAGATAGAGCCAGCTGTTCCATGAGTTAACAGGTAGCAAAGTCAGAAGAGCCAAGCGTGTTGGGACCTTGGCCACCGAGTGGCCTCTTCTGCTTCTGACCAGGGTCTTAGCCTGTTCCAGACTTGCTGGGGCCTGCCTCGGGCACCTGTCGTGGAGTGGGTGCCAGGAGCCTGACCTCAAAGGGCAGGAGAAGCTTTTCCTTGGCAATGCTGCTGAGCAGGGTCTCAGAAAGGTCTTTGGGCAGAGGGCCCCTCGAGTCATTGCTCTTTGCTCCTCTCTTGACAGACCATCCAGGAGGTGCAGCCAGACGTGGTCGTGGTGGAGCTTTGCCAGTACAGGGTTTCCATGTTGAAGATGGATGAGAAGACGCTGCTGAAGGAGGCCAAGGAGCTCAGCCTGGAAAAGCTGCAGCAGGCCGTCAGGCAGGTAGGAGCCCCTCCCTCTTCATCTCAAAGAGCACTGTGCTCCGGGCCGGGCTGCCCGGGAGAGGCCCCGGGCTCGCAGGGCCCATCCGCGCTGCCGCATCCTTACCGTCTTCTTCACTGATGACTCACATCCATTTCTCGTGTTGAACCATTGGACAGGACCAGGACATTATGATAGTTAGGTCATCCAACATGGGTCTCTCCATCTTTGCCATGGGGATAGCAAGAGAGGATAGCAAACTGTTTTCTCAAAGCCAGCTAGACTGTGGCCACCAGCAATGTTGGCCTAGCCTGGCCCATTTTTGTTTTTTTAAATAAATGTATTTGTTTTTAGTTTTCAACTTCTACTTTTATAAGATTTTGAGCTCTAAATTTCCCCCCTTCCCCAAGACAGTGTGCAGTCTGATACAGGGGATTATGTACGTGATCATATTAAACATATCTCCACATCAGTCATGTTGTGAAAGAAGATTCAGAACGAAAGGGGAAAACTGCAAGAAAGGAAAAAACAGAGAAAATATCTGCAATCAGACTCCATGGTTCTTTCTCTGGATGTGGATGGCGTTTTCCTTCACGAGGCCTTTGGAGATCTCGTCTTAGATCCTCGTACTGCTGAGAAGGGTTAAGTCTCTCAATAGTGGTCGTTGTGTACAGCGTTGTCCTGGGTCTGCTCACTTCACTCAGCATCGGTCCATACGAGTCTTCCCAGGTTTTTCTGAAGTCCGGGGTACGGCCTGTCCTTGCTGAAGCCGTGCCCACTCTTAGGATGTGCACGTACTGTCCCTCGAATTCCATGCTCTGTAACTTCTGCAGAAACAAACTCCGTTGTCGTCTTCTCAACCTTGTTGGGTCCTACAGTCCCTTCCGGCAGTCCTTCCCCGCTCCCCATGGCTGTTCACGGGCTGCTGATAGCAGCTTAGCAGGCACAGCTCTCAGTTCTTTGAAGGCCACCGAATGTGGGGCCGGGGCAGGGAGGGGGCACTGCTGCCATCATGTCCTTGGCCTCTGTGTTGGCCATTCTTGTTCTCTCTGCTCCGGCCCAAAGGTTGCGCTTCCTCACGTAGGGGCCAGGGGCTGCATCATGGCCAGAGTTCATCTTGGCCTTCCTCCCCCCCCCTGGACGTTGTCAGTGTCCCCCGGGCCTGCCCGCTTTGCTTCGCCTCGCCGGCCTTTCAGGACGGGCCCAGGCCTTTGCCCGCGTCTTCTCAGACAACGACCCTTCGGTCACACCTCCTGTTTCTGCGTGGCCTGTGCCCAGAGAGCCGGCCGAGTCCAAAGAAGGAGAACTGGGGAGAGGTCGACGGTCAGCTTTCCCTCCCCTGTCCATCCTCAGGCAGGGTGGGGCAGGTCTCCCCTCCCTCTTCTTGGGGGCCCAGCTTGGTCCTGACCGCGGCAGCGATTCGTTTTGAGGCTCTGTTGTTTTCTTCTTTATCTTGTGGATTCTTTCACATCATCACAGCTACAGTAAGTGCCTACTGTGTGCCGGGCCCCGTTCTGAGCGCTGTACAAATACTGTCTCATTTGAGCCTCACCACAACCCTGGGAGGGAGGAGCTGTTACAGGTGAAGAAACAGCAAAGTGGCTTACCCAGGGTCACCCAGCTAGAACAGTTCGAGGCCCCATTTGAACCTGGATCTTCCTGACTCCAGGCCTGGCACCCCTGGTGGCTGTCAGTTCATGTCTCCTCCTTGCCTCCATCACGTTTGCTATTTCTTGCGATGCGGCAGTGTTCCATTTCATCTGGGAACGTAGCTTGTTCCGCCATTTAGCGGGCCCCCCGGAGTGATGCTACGGATATGTTGCTCTGTCCTGGGGCTTTGCCCTCCGGCGGCAGGATCCCTGTTAGCATCATTTCAGGTGACTTTCCACAATGTTGGGGCTAGGACTGGAGCGTGCCTCTTCCGGTGAGCCCTCCAGGATGACTTCCTGGCTTGCCATCATCTCCAGTTTGCTGGGGCCTGAGATTTGTGAAGCCTGACATCTGGATTTCCTTCTTTCTCGGGATTAGTGACAGTCTTTCCTGTTGCCGCTAACATTTGCCGTTCTCCCTTTGCAGACTGGTTACCTGCTCTAGTTTCTGGCTTTTCCCTGGGGTTAAGACTTGAGTCGCTCAGTGAGGTCTGTGGGTAGCCACACTCACACCCCTGTCCCGTGTGTACCCACACCCCTCTGGTGGGCCTCTTCTGCAAGCAGGAGCATCTTTCGGGGAAGATGGGCAGCCTTCCCCTCGGATCCAGGCCTCAGGCAAGCTGGACAAGGAATGGAGTGCCCCTTTGGGGGGCATGCCGAGGTGTTCATGTGGACCACTGGGCACGGGAGTGCACGTGCATTTTTGCCCTAGTGCCTGTGACTGGCTATCATTTCTACAGAAGTTTGCATGCCGGTCCCTTATCTAAATCTAGATCAGTCTGGAGCCTCTTGGGACATTTTGAACTGTGGCTTCCTGGCCTTATCCTCCCAGTGGGCAGTGAGGACTTCCCAGCAGAATGACAGAAGTATGCTGCAGCTCTCTTCCTCAGTCGGGCCACACAGTTTCTTGGCTCTTGTGGGTGTCTCTGGTTCTGGCAGGGACTGGCTGTTGGGCAGTGGAGCCATCATCGTATGAAGAAAGACGTTGCTGCTGGGGCCGGTGGTCTGCCTGGGGTCAGAGCAGAGGAGAAAACGCCCCAGGAGCGACCTGAGAAGCCACTTTACAGACTCAACGGAACGGCGAAGGGCCCCGGTGGCTTCCAGTGCAGCCGGGCCAAGCAGTGATCCAGCCGCTACCCGCAGACCTTGGCCGAGGGGACCCCTGCCAGCCCCTCTCACCGGGGGTGAGCTCACGACGGCAGCAGGGTCAGACTCTGGGGCCGAACCGAAGGAGGCTGATCCTTCCTCCTCCTCGTGACTTCAGAACCTGAAGACAGCTGTCGGGCTCCCTTTGAGTCTCAGGATGTCCTCTGTGACAGGGACCCAAGGCCCTTCACCACCCTCCTGCTTGCCTTCCTTCGGCCTGTGTCCAGCTTGTCATCATCCTTCTCAAGCCTTGGTGCCTGGGCCGGGGGCAGAGGCCAGTGCAACTCCCACGTCCCTGTTCTGGGGACCCTGGCCCTTTCTGTGACTGACTCACACAGGCCTGGGTGTGGTCTGTTGAAATCCCTCAATCTCCAAGAGTTCTCCTGCGTCTCGTCCTTGGGACGTGGGGTGGGAGGCTCTGTCCCTCGTGGATGCGGCCTGCCAGGGACCTTTTGGGTCCTGAGTCTCTTGTCCTCTGCTGGGGTGACGTCAGACCCACAGAGTGGGGAAGGAGAAAGTGGCAGGGAGGGGACGTGGACGCCGGGCTCTTCCGTGGGCCTTTTGGGCCAAAGCTGTCGTTCCAGGGAACCCAGGTAATTAGGCCTTCCTGTTGAGGCATCACTGAGCAGCTGGAAGTCTGCCCACCCTCTCTGGCTTCTCTTCCGTGCCTTGTTGGTCCCCGTTTTCAGCACATGGCGCCTCCCCAGTAACTCCCGAGAACCCGCCCTCGTTACCGAGACAGACCTATGGCCGTGTCCGCCACCCGGGGGGGCCGCCCCCTCCTCACTCGAGGGAGGACCTGTGTGTCCTCCCCAGTCCTCTGGAGCGACCATCGTAGGCCGTGCTGGTCTACCCGCGGGAGCGGCTTCCCTTGGTGGTTCCTTCTTGACTCTGCAGATTCAGAGGTGAGCGGCACGATGGCGCCTCTGTAAAAGAAGGCAGGATGAGACAGACCTCTGAGCACGCCCTTACTCATCTCTGGCTGTGCTGAGGACCCAGTAACCCTCTGCTCCTGGGCTGGAGGGAGAGGCCGGCATGGCCTGAGATCTGCAGACTGGGCATGTGCAGCCCTCACACGTGGCGCACGCACGCACTCACGCACACACGCACACACTGTGGTTGGAAGCCTAGATCTGGCTGTGTCAGGAGCCCTGCCCCAAGCCCTCGAGATGCCCAGGGCCCTGGGCTGCAGGCAGAGGGACTCAGTATCTTCCACAGGCGCTCGTGCAGTTTGTGATGGCCAGGGATGTGCTCACGGTGCTTTGGCTGGGGACTGAAGGTCAGTGGGCCGAGGACAGCCCAGGCCTTGGCATGTAGGAGCGAGAGCGTGAGCAGCACAAGACGGGTCTTGGAGCAGAAGGGGCAGCGGGGTGTGGAAGAAGGTGGGCAGTAAGTGTCTGTTGTCGTTCACTCGTTTCCGTCGTGCCCGACTCTGTGACCCCATTTGGGGTTTTCTTGGCAGAGATACTGGAGTGGTTTGCCATTTCCTTCTCCAGCTCATCTGACAGATGAGGAGACTGAGGCAAACAGGGTGAAGTGACTTGCCCAGGGTCACCCAGCTAGTAAGTGTCTGAGGCCGGATTTGAACTCAGGAAGACGAATCTTCTTGACTCCAGGCCTAGCGCTCTGTGTACCATGGCGCCCCCAGCGGTCTTTAAGTGACCTTGAGTCAGAAGTCATATTGGAGGCCACCAGTCTGAGAGTTGGAAGGTTTGTGTTTGAGTCTGGAGACCCTTCACCACTCTGAGCCTCAGTTTCCTCATCTGTAAAATGGAGAGAAGAATCCTTGCAGCCCCTTTCTTCTTCGGACAGTTGTCGTAAGTCTTCCAGGATGAGATGAGTGGGAGGTGCAGGGGGCAGGGAGGTGGCATTGAGCGTCTCGGGCAGCGGGGGACGGTGCCGTGCAGTAGGGATGGCGAGCACCCTCTCCTCCAAGGCTTCCTGGGACCGTGTTTTGGGTCTCCGTGGTACAACCACAGGCATTCATTAAGTACCTACCATGTGCTGGGCTCTGGAGGTACAGATGCGAAGAGTGAGAGTCCGGGCCTTTGAGGAGCTGTTGGGAGCTCACAGAGATAAAAGAAGAGACGGCCCCGAGGACGGCCCAGCGAAGAAGGGAGCTGGAGCTGTGTCTGCAGGGAAGACAGAGTTTGCCCAGCAGGTGGCCCTGGAGAGCTGCCTGGTGGCTCCCAGGCCGGCTCCTCTGGGCCTCAGCCTTTGACACTGCCCGTCACCAGGCCCGTAGCTGAAGCCTTTGAGCCTTCCATGGCCCACGATCTCATATAGGGCACGGGGGAGGCAGGTCACTGTGCAGGCAAGGTGCCCACGGCGGGGAGTCGGCATCGGGGGGCCAGCGGGGCCTTCTGGAAAGACAGGCCTCAGGCTGATCTGTGGAGCCACTGCCCATGATGTCCCTGGCACCTGGCACCTGGCCCTGGGAGTGAGCCTTCCGGCATCCTGGTGGAGCTGCCAGCTTCCTGTCACCCTGTGTTTGGATAGGCCTGCCCCGAAGCCCAGGCTCAGCCGCAGGGGGATTAGTTGTGCTCTTGGCCCCATCGGATGTGTGCTTTTCAAAATGTCACTGACGCTTTGAACTGCAGGTTGTGGAAGGCTGCCCTGCCCCTTCTGCGGGGGCGTGGGAGGGGAGCGCCAGCTCTGACCGCCAAAGCGCCTCTTCTCTCCCCTCTCGCCCTGCCGTGGGGGAATAGCCATCCGAGGCTTCCGTCCCCTCTCTGAAAAACCCCTTCCTGTGACCAGCGGACCCTGGCCGCCTCTAGCGGCCCCTCATCCCAGTGATTCTGTCAGCCCCCTTCTTCCCCTTCCTCCTTGTTACCCAGGAAACCTGCTGCTGGTGGTGTTTGTAAATTAAATTTGGGTTGTGTTTGTTGTCTGGTCCTGACAGACGCCAGCAGACACGAGACATTTCCACAAATAGAGAACAGAAATAGTGTCACATAAAACTGAATTCGGCTCATTTCCTTCTTGAAAAGGGTGGAGGTAGTTCGGTACAGTGGCTTCAGAGCCCTCTGGCCACCCTTCTCTTCTCTTCTGGGCTTTTCTTTTGTAAAGTTTCATTGGCACACCTCTCTTTTCCCTTCTCCCCTCACATTCTTCCCACCTCCCAAATGTTTCCAAGTCCTTCCTCATCGCAGTAAGGGATCTCTCGGCATCGCTGTGTCTCCCCCTGCACCTCAGGGCCCTCCCCTCTCGGTCAGGAGGTCGGGGCCTTGGGAGGCCTCGCTGGGCACCTGTGGCTCAGAGCTCGAGCAGTGCCATTTTCATGCACGGAGCTCTTGTCTGACTTGGTCTCTGGTTCTTGCCTCCTCCCTCAGCATCGGTTCAGACAAGATGTCCCAGGTTTCTAAGAAACTCCTCCGTCAATTTTTAGACCACACTGGTCTTCCATTATGCATGTGCCATCATCTGTCCAGCAGGCCCCCCAGTGATGGGGCACCCTCTTTTCCAGTTCTTTGTTATGACAAAAAGATGCTGCCGGTGTTTTTTGTACACACAGGTACAACACGGCCCTCTTCCTCGCGTCTTCTTGGAGAGTAGGTCTCAACAGAGGCGCCTCGGTGCTGGACACTGCGTAATTCGGTGCCTCGGGCCGTCGGTCCACACTGCCTTCCCGATGGCTGGGACGGCACCCCGCTGTCCAACTGAGGCGTCATGTGCCTGTTTCCTCACGGCTCCTCTGCCGACCTGCATTTCCCTGTTTGGGAGAGCTTTGCGATCTGATGGGTGGGTGGTGGGACTTCAGGCTGGCTTGAATTTGCAGTTCTCTTAGTAATGATCTGAAGCATTTTTATATGGTTGTTGATGCCTTGTTTTTCTCATCTGAAAACTGCTTGTTTGTTTCTTTTGACCTTTTATTGCTTGGGGAATGACTCATTACTTACTTAAACGCGTCCCCTATATATCCCGAATATTTGGCTGCTAGCAGAGAAACCCGCTTGCTGCAAAGGGCTGTTTTTTCTTTTCTAGTTTTCCTGTTTCCCTTCTCATTTTAGCTGCCTTGATTTTGTTTGTGAAAAAGCCTGTCAATTTTATGTAGTGAAAATTGTCCGTTCTAACTCCTGTGATTCTCTGTGCTCTGCTTGGTCAAGAACTAACACTCTCTCTCTCTCTTCCTCTCCCTCTCCCCCC